ATCAGCATGAACATTGGTGAGAACATCAGCATGAACATTGGTGAGAACATCAGCATGAACATTGGTGAGAACATCAGCATGAACATTGGTGAGAACATCAGCATGAACATTGGTGAGAACATCAGCATGAACATTGGTGAGAGCATCAGCATGAACATTGGTGAGAACATCAGCATGAACATTGGTGAGACCATCAGCATGAACATTGGTGAGAACATCAGCATGAACATTGGTGAGAACATCAGCGTGAACAGCGGTGAGAACATCAGCATGAACATCGGTGAGAACATCAGCATGAACATAGGTGAGAACATCAGCATGAACATCGGTGAGAACAACAGCATCAACACTGGCGGAAACATCAGCATGAACATTGGTGAGAACATCAGTATGAACATTGGTGAGAACATCAGCATGAACATTGGTGAGAACATCAGCGTTAACGGTGGCATGAACATTGGTGAGAACATCAGCATGAACATTTGTGAGAACATCAGCATGAACATTGGTGAGAACATCAGCATGAACATCGGTGAGAACATCAGCATGAATATTGGTGAGAACAACAGCATCAACACTGGCGAAAACATCAGCATGAACATTTGTGTAAACATTGGCGTGAAGAAAAACGTGAATGTCGACGTGAATATAAACATGAACATCGACGTGAACATTGGGTTGAATGTCGACATCAACGTTGATGTGAATAAGGCGTGAGCATCGACGTGAACATCAACGTAGACCCCGAATAAAAATTTGACGTGAAACATTATGTAACATTGGCTCGAGGCTAAGTGCCCCCGGTAACTATATTTATCATCTCTTATTATAACCTTAACTCCTGAAATTTATTTTTATTAAAAAATTATTAAGACCTGAACTATATTCGTCATCTGTAATAAAAATCTCAGGAAAAAATGCAGGGATCTCCAATAGTATAGTCCCCATGTAACGCTAGAGGACTCATGGGGTATAACAAACACATTTTAATGGTAAACCCCGGTCACTAGTGATCATTTCTGATGTGAAAAAAATATTATTTAAACCGTATTTTTAATAAACTTTTCATTTAAGAGATAGCGCAATATTATATAAAGTAACTTAAATATTCGGTATAGAGTCCGTAGATTTTTTTGCGAAGTAAAATCTGCCTTGTAAAACCGTGGAGTTCAAGATATTCAAATGTTTTATGTAAGCACCGTAGACTTATCCATATTTGGTCAATGACCTTGACCTTAACTTGGAAACGTCACATGTCACGTGACATCACAGGACGCGTGACGTCACCGGACGCGTGACGTCACAGTTCACACATACTTGTGTTGATGAACGAACTGGGCAGTATAGCTTAATGAAACAACTAATAGTTAAATAAAGTTAATACAGTGAGAGGAAAAGAATTTCCACCAACATATTAGCCACATAGCATTGAAAAACTTCGTGTAAAAACCTAGTGAGCCACTAATATGATTAATAACTATTGACAAAGGAAGTGTCAGAGTGACAGTTCATGCGCCGGGCTTGCCAAGCCTCGGTCTCTGCGTTTAAAACGAACGCGAAACAATTGCTGCTTAACGACCGCCGCAACTCGTCATATTCTGGCAAATGACGCGGGGGGGGGGCTGTCTCTTATACACATCTAGATGTGTATAAGAGACAGGNGCCCAGGTGACACATAGCTCAACATTGTCACAACATAGCGCCGTATTGTGCCCAGGTGACACATAGCTCAACATTGTCACAACATAGCGCCGTATTGTGCCCAGGTGACACATAGCTCAACATTGTCACAACATAGCGCCGTATTGTGCCCAGGTGACACATAGCTCAACATTGTCACAACATAGCGCCGTATTGTGCCCAGGTGACACATAGCTCAACATTGTCACAACATAGCGCCGTATTGTGCCCAGGTGACACATAGCTCAACATTGTCACAACATAGCGCCGTATTGTGCCCAGGTGACACATAGCTCAACATTGTCACAACATAGCGCCGTATTGTGCCCAGGTGACACATAGCTCAACATTGTCACAACATAGCGCCGTATTGTGCCCAGGTGACACATAGCTCAACATTGTCACAACATAGCGCCGTATTGTGCCCAGGTGACACATAGCTCAACATTGTCACAACATAGCGCCGTATTGTGCCCAGGTGACACATAGCTCAACATTGTCACAACATAGCGCCGTATTGTGCCCAGGTGACACATAGCTCAACATTGTCACAACATAGCGCCGTATTGTGCCCAGGTGACACATAGCTCAACATTGTCACAACATAGCGCCGTATTGTGCCCAGGTGACACATAGCTCAACATTGTCACAACATATCGCCGTATTGTGCCCAGGTGATACATAGCACAACATTGTCACAACATAGCCCCGTATTGTGCCCAGGTGACACATAGCACAACATTGTCACAACATAGCGCCGCCGTATTGTGCCCAGGTGGCACATAGCTCAACATTGTCACAGCATAGCGCCGTATTGTGCTCAGGTGACACATAGCTCAACATTGTCACAACATAGCGCCGTATTGTGCCCAGGTGACACATAGCTCACCCCATGTCAACACCCCATGTCAACACCCATATCTCCATAAGCTGAGCCAACAAATCATCCAGCGAGAACAAGCTCGATCTCCGGGATTTAGCCTCCGCCGGATTTCAGAGCACCGGACGGAAGAGCAACGGATCCAAGAGCAACAGATCTCAGAGCAGCGGACCGAAGAGCAGCAGATCTCAGAGCAGCGGACCGAAGAGCTGCAGATCTCAGAGCAGCGGACCGAAGAGCTGCAGATCTCAGAGCAGCGAACTTAGAGCAGCAGATCTCAGAGCAGCGAACTTAGAGCTGCAGATCTCAGAGCAGCGAACTTAGAGCTGCAGATCTCAGAGCAGCGGACCGAAGAGCTGCAGATCTCAGAGCAGCGAACTTAGAGCTGNCTGTACCTTAGTTACCGATGACTTAAGTCGTTAGATTCTCAAAGTGTCATTCTCACGTTATATGTTAACCTTTCATTAAGTTGACGAGTGATTACGTATAGAAGGAATTCAATTCAACAGTCAATAGTTATCACTAAAAAAATGAACGGGTCATATTTTCTAAGTAGTTACACACTTTCTCAACACGAGCAAAAAGCTGACGTAGCACATGCAGATACGATCAATTACCGGGCCAAACTGGGTCAGGATGACCCATTTAAGGACAAGAGGGGCATCGCTAATTGAATATCCTCACTCCTTCCTCTGAGTGATATAACCAAATCAGGCTTCAAATGAACAATAAAAATAATAGGAGCAGGATAACTTATTTAACTAAATTAAATTTTCATTTATGAACGACGTTCAATGTAGAACTTTCAAAAAAGTTAGTGAGACTTTGTCCAAATAAAGATGCACTTTCTACCTTCGTGTGGGTCATCAAAACCCATATCGGCTTGGTAAAGAGGCGTATCAGTGTTACCAACGTCCCAGATACTCACATAGCTCAACATTGTCACAACATAGCGCAGTATTGTGCCCAGGTGACACATAGCTCAACATTGTCACAACATAGCGCCGTATTGTGCCCAGGTGACACATAGCTCAACATTGTCACAACATAGCGCCGTATTGTGCCCAGGTGACACATAGCTCAACATTGTCACAACATAGCGCCGTATTGTGCCCAGGTGACACATAGCTCAACATTGTCACAACATAGCGCCGTATTGTGCCCAGGTGACACATAGCTCAACATTGTCACAACATAGCGCCGTATTGTGCCCAGGTGACACATAGCTCAACATTGTCACAACATAGCGCCGTATTGTGCCCAGGTGACACATAGCTCAACATTGTCACAACATAGCGCCGTATTGTGCCCAGGTGACACATAGCTCAACATTGTCACAACATAG